CCCCGCGCCACGAAATCTGCACTTTCTCTCCAAAACCCGCGCCTGCCACGAAATCAACATTTTAGTGTGAACTCCCTGCCGCAAAAAAAACCTGCTAACCAACCAACCAACCAACAGCCACCTGCCAGCGGCGCCAGCAGCAACCAACCATCTGACCACAACGTAGCATCCCTTTTGTGGGCCATCCGAGGGTAAAATTTAGAATAGGAAGAAGCCTATTGCAACGTGGCATGCCTTTTGTGGGCCACAGATACAGTTTAGACTAGGAAAAAGCCATTGCAACGTAGCATTCCTTTTGTGGGTAAAATTTAGAAAAGGAAGAAGCCATTGCAACGCAGCGTGCCTTTTGTGGGCCACCCGAGGGTAAAATTTAGAGCAGGAAGGAGCCATTACAACGAAGCATTTCTTTTTGTGAGCCACCCGATGGTAAATTTTAGAGTAGGAAGGAGCCATTACAACGATTTACATCGTAGCATTCCTTTGATGGGCCATTCGAAAGTAAAATTTAGAAAAGGAAGAAGCCATTGCAACGTAGCATGCCTTTTGCGGGCCACCCGAGGGTAAAATTTACAGCCGGAAGGAGCCATTATATTACACTGTAGCATTCCTGTTATGGGCCATTTGAAGGTGAAATTTAGAATAGGAAGGAGCCATTACAACGCAGCATTAGTTCGAATTCGACTTCAAATCGACGATAATTTTTTCACTCCGGGGGAGGAACTAGTTCGAGTTTGAGTTCGAATTCCAATCGACGACAATTTTGACGCCCGGAGGGGGGGAAACGCAGTTCGAGTTCGAGATCAAATTTCGAATCGACGACAATTTTGACACCGGGGGGGGACCAGTTCCAGTTCGAGTTCGAATTCGAATTCGAATCGACGACAGCGATTTTGGAGTTCGACTCTTTCTATTCGTCCACTGGGTTGACTTCTAACAGTTCCAGTTCGAGTTCGAGATCGAGTTCGAGATCGAGTTCGGTTCCTTCCATATATATCCTTTCAAGGTTAAGTTCATCAATACTGTATAACTGTTTCAGTTCGAGTTCGAGTTCGAGTTCGAGTTCGAGCGGGGCACACTATGGGGAGGATTGAACGCTCATGCAGTGTGACGCTTTCCGCTGCGCCCTGACGAGCTCCTCCCTTAGTCAGTCCGAGGGAAAGGACTTTGGCCCTGGGATGAAAATATCTTTGGCCCGCAGGCTCAGTAATTCACCAGTACGAAGAAGTCCATAGAAGGTAATTCGTAAAGACAAGCCAAAGGCAGGGCAGTCATTGAAAATCGACCATCCGCATAAAGCATCCAGAATTTGAAGCGTCATGGGTGGTGCACGGTTGGGTATCTCCACCGTTGCCCAGGCTTTGAGCAACCGCCAACTTCCTGGCAATTTCTTCTTTAGTGATGGATCTCGATCCTGCAATGCTGCCAGCGTATTGTTTGCCACGGACCTGCCTTCTCCGGAGGCCCAGAGATGCTCGAGGTAGTCACTGACCAACGCATCCAAGCGAACCTGCTGTTTTGGGAGGACGAGGCCCTCCCCTGCCATCCAGTCGAAGAAGCGGTTGAGACATTCTGTATATCGTTGCCTTGTACGTGGCTGAACAGTCAGCCCTTTGAGAGAACCTAGTTTGCTTCGAACCTTTTTGCGCTCTTGTTGGCATTTACCATCACTTTCGTGGTCTTCTTACCCATTTCTTTCGAAGGGGTCGGCGCGATGGCCGATCAGCGGGGTTTTGGTGGGTATCCACGTAACCCCAAACCCCAACAAGACCTCCTGCCAACTGAAGCGCTCCGATTCGACACAATGTTCTCCTCAACCTTCTGCTCGATGACCTTCCTCGTGAGAAGGCGCGCAACGCAACCAATGAATCAACCAAGTGCAAGAAACGACACTCCTGCTCCTCAAGCTCCTTCAACCTCCAGACAATGGCTGTTTTAACCGCTCGCAATTCCAATGCGTTGATGTGCTCAACGTCTCCCGTCCAGCGCCACCCTGCAACATCCTTCCACCGCCAGAGTTTACTGGGGATGGACGCCCTCAAACGGTGATATCGCGCTGGGAGATCGGACCCCAGCTGCAGCAGGATGTCCTCTCCCTTCACAGAGACCTGTCCCATCAAGCGAGGAACCAAACCCTGCTGGCCACTGCCTGCCTTTGTGGTTTGCCTCACCGGGGGCCGCGTCAGAAGGCTAGACAAGAACTGTTCGCGACCTGGGGTCAAACGCTCAACCAAAGTGACCAAGTCCAGCTCCGGCAACAAACCCAGTGTCCTAAACAAGCAATACAGCAAATATGCGACCGCCGGGATGGACCAACTGTTCCCGAGAAGGTCAACCGACAGTCATTGTGAGCCGTGCTCCCCTCCATGCTCTTGACTAGGCACCTCCGAGTATAGTCGACTGGAAATCCCAGGATCACATCCCTTTCCTTGACGGACGGGACACGCAACACACCTTGCCGATTTGTGACGCAGTTCTCTGCCCGATACTGGTATGGTGGGAAGCGATGAAGATCAGCCTTCCACCGAGCTACTGCCTCACGAGGACAAAGAGCTAGTCCGGCAGGCCGGCGTCCTGGAACTGCTGAAGGCCGAGACGTGGTGAATGTAGGAAAAGGAGCGTCAGGGCGGACTCGCTGCCATCCACTTTCCAGAAAGTCTCGTTCATCCACGGACACCTCAAGCACTACCTTGCCTTTGATTGGAGCTTCAACGGCTCCCAACTACACGCGGTCGACGTGCCAAGGTAAGTCCACCAGCATCGATGCTCCAAGGCAATGCGTCATAGGCTGCTGACATACTCTGGCAATCGACAGCATCCATTGAAGCAACGTTCTCGATGAGTCTGTGTACAGGGCACCACTTGAAATGTTCCCGGAGTAGTGCCTCTACCCTGGGGACATGCTGGAACAAACAGGACCGCTCATCCCTCAACGCCCCCTTCCGGTCCGAGTTTAACCCGGACACACCCTGACAGGGTGGTCCGGCACCAGCAACACAAGACCGACGTTCGCAAAGCGTAACCTCCAACCAAGGACAACTTCATTGGTCACGCCAGCAACGTCTCCCACACACACCACCTCAGGGAAGAACGACTCGACCACGCGATTGGCGGCTTCTGGGGATATCTCCACTGAGACATAGCCCCCAACAGGCACACGCAAAGCGTCCAATGCAACTCGCAGAGCGCCTATCCCGTCGAAAAGCGACACCACCAACACCTGGTCCATCTCGTCGGGCTCCATGACATCTCCACGACACTCCGCCTGGCACGCCGCAACACCGAAAGGACTAAGCTCTCTACTCACGCAAAGTCCACCCCCAGTGGTGGAGGCATCGCTGGCCGTCACAAGCTCAGAAGTGGACAGACGGAAATCCATGTAGGCCAAAGGTCTCAAGGCAACAAAGCGTAGCAACTCCACCATGACCTCCTGCGGCAGCGTCCTACGAGCTAAGGGGCCCCTGGCACCCAACTCCGTGACATGTTTCCAAACGGCATTCAACCCGGACAACAATGGCCTGCGGAACATTGCAATGTAGACGAAACCTCCTTCGACCACTTGCAACTCTCGCTGAGAAGCCTTGCCATCCATACAGAGCTCTAAAGCAAGCCGAACATACTTAGCCATCTTTTCCAACTTTGGAGTGGCTCGGCCAAGCTCGCCGTCCACCAAAGCCCCCTGGACCTCAGCCTGAACCTCCTGTGTGACTGCCTTCTTCGGGTGCCGGGGGAGTCCCAGCTGTTGATATGTTTCACGCACTGCCAAAGTCCAGGCTGACGGCGTCCCGGCTAGAGTCCCTGCAAGCGTCTTGTCCACCTTGTGTAACTCATCATAGTTGTCGAGATAGACCCTATACTGATGGGAAGACGAGCTCTGGTGGCGATCACGTCGGATCTCTTGGTGCTTCCCTGCCAGCTTCCTTTCGCCCCCTAGGGCCTGTTGGATAACCCGCCTGTGAACATGCTGCGCAATTGCCACAGAGTTAATGAACCCCATGGGCAAAACCCTGCTAACAAGGTGCCAGCCTTTGCCAGTGTAGCCTGCTGGGAGGCCGTTCTCAGGCACCTCCCTTCCAAACCCCATGAAACGGTGCCACTCTGGGGGCGTCCGGAACAAATAGAAAAAACACCGAATATCTTCTGAAGACGTCAAAAGCAGTTCACCATCACCCAAGACGGTCCCAGACATCCCTGTAACCGTGGGTAGAGTCGAAGTGTCCCCCACTAAGTTTCGGCGCAAGCCATTGGTTGGCACGAGGTTCATTATTAGCCTGCAGACCTCAAATTCCTCACCTCCTGTGTCCACCGCTTTCTCGCCCTTCTCAACCGCAAATAGGCCATTTAGTACTGGTCGCCCTTTAACATGAAAAAGATCATCCCTTTTCATGAGGCTACAAACCCCCCGATCGACAAGTCCCAGGCGCACCTCTGCCCAGTGCTCTTGGCTGACCATCGTGGCCGGCGTCTTTCCGAGGTTCTGATCCTGGGGCGGCAAGAGGAATTTTTCGAACTCCGCGACATAAGACCTGGTGCCTCCATCACAGAAACTCAACAAATCCAGTGACCCCACACCCTCAGGGAAAGCAGCTGCAACCATCTTCCACTGAAATGATCTTGCCACACGAACCTCCTCACCGGAATAGTCAATGCCTTTTGTATTGAAAAATTGTCCAAACGTAAGTGGGGGAAGGACGACACGGGGCAAGCCACTGGTCATAAGAACTCCCTTCAACCGCTCCAGGATCCTCCGCTGGACCTTTGAGACCTTCTTTCCTCCTGATGAACCAACCCCATACAAGCTATTCAACCCTCTGATGAGCCCGTCTAACAATGGATCATCATCTTCATACCATCCTAGACCCCCTGGAAGTGGGAGAGGAAAGATCCCCTCCGTGGACTGCCCGCAACGCGTGGTCTGTGTCAACACCTCCAGGGATTGCGATAGTGCAGGACTCAAATCCTTCCACAAGCTTTCCTTTTTGGCGCAAGCGCTCTTCAAAGCCATCTGCCAAGTTTCATGGCCTTCATGCTCTGTCAAAAACCTCTCTTCACGGCACTGCTTCAAATCCAGTCGTGAAGGGGATCGCCATGCACTCTGGGAGAAGATCTTTTTCCCCCCTGTACCGCTATGAAGGGCTCCTCCAGCAAAAAGTTGGCGCTGTCCGCGGCGCAAGCCTGCAGATTGCTTACTCCTTCTCTCTGCCTGGGAGGGACCTCCATCCTCCCCTCCCCAGCCCGGCGGGTCCAGGGGACGTTTTTGCCCCCTAGACTCACCTCCAGGGTCATACGTGTCACTCTCTTCTTTCTTCTTTCCTCTCCTGCGCTTCTCTCTGGCATCTGTTCAGCATCTCCTCTATTGCCCTTTCAACCTCTTTCTCCTCTTTTTCTGTCCTCTCTACCACCTGTTGGCTCCTCTCTGACATCTCCTCACTTTTCCTCTCTCCTCTGCATCCCTCTGCCTTGTGGTCTGTCCCTTCTACCTCATGGCCCTCCTTTACTGCTCGTCTTTTTGTTTTCTTCCCCATTTTCCTTTCTCCTTTCCTTTGCCTTTCTCTCCCCCTTTCTGCTTGTATGAGGACTCTGAGGTAGGACAGGCTTTCCTCGACCTTGCGATTCTCCTTCTCCACGGGAGCTCAGGCCGTGCGGCCTATTGCCAATTGAACGATTGCGGAACTCGTCGCGCGCCGTCCTAGCTGCTTCCACTTGTTCAGCGGGTTCCGAGATCCTGATGGGCTCTGTATTGACAAGCTCCAGCTGCCTCGAAACTGAATAATGACCACCTCGAAGAGTGCTTTCGAGCGACTTCGCACGTTGGACTAGAGTGTCCATCGCAGTGGCCACCTTCCCCCTGAGCAGCAGGTCGGTGACATGGGACACCGTTAGTAACTCCTGTAGCATCACCGGACTTGCGAGAGGTTGCAAGTATTGGTGCGTGTACATGGAGAACAACGGACTAAGGTGTTCTCTTGAAACGCTGTGGAGCTCCCCTCTTGAGGATAGCAGGTGTTCCCGAACGTTGTCGAGGGCCTGTGCCGTCAGTGCCCCCGGGCACTTCTCACTCAATCGTCGAAGGCGCCGTGTCTCTTCGAAAAGCGGTCCTTCCGACCCTTCATTGCCTTCTGACGTCGTCGATGACGAAGAGCCCGTGCCACTGGAGTCTGACCGCTTCCGCTTCTTGTCCTTTTTCTTGCCGACCCTACGCACCTTCTTCATCAAGCGTTTCCGCCTGGGTACGTTGGGGTCCAAGCATGTGTGGCTGAACAATGCTCTGGCGGTCTTTTGCCCACGCTCCAGCTCCTCCGTCTCTTCCTTTTTCTCTAACATCTCATCATAGGCCTTCTCTGCTGCCCTCTCCTTCTTCTTCCTCTTCCTCTTGTCTTTCTTCTTTGCTTCACCTGCTGGCGTCTCACCCTTGTCCTCTTTCTCCTCGGGCCTGGGAGGTCTCTCGCCTCCCCTCCCCTTACCTCGCTCCATTGCCAGCTCTCGTAGTCCAGCTAACTCATCCACTTCCGCCTCACCTCCGGCCTTGATCGGCACCAGATTGGAGCGCCATGGCTTCGGCGCAACACTGCAATCCCAATAGCCTCGGCTGTGCATGTAGGTGTCACCGGTCGTCAACTGTGGACATCCCGGCTGGCAGATGTGGACTTGGATCAATCGAGAACCGCCTCCTCCAAAGCGCTCCAAGACGCGGTCCGACATTGTCCCCGTCAGCTCAACACAAAACCTCTTCCTCAGCAGGCATCAGCTTACGAATACGTCCACAAACCTTGGCGTGCCCGCCGTAGTATGAGGTCTCTCCCAACTCCACAATGTCCAAACTCCTCAACCTCTCCATTGTCAAAGATGCCAACGTGTTATACTCCTCAGTCGGTGGTTTCTCCTCTTCATGTCCTTCCTCAGCCTCTGCACGAGCAGGCCTTCTCAATGGCCTCACCCTGGCAGCCGCTGCCGCCGGTCTCCTCAGTTTGGGAGCCATTGCTCCCTTTTACCAGCGATCTCTGTACTGCTTTCTTTCGTAGAGCTCTTGTTTTGCTCTCTTCGTCACCCCCTTGTTGGTACTTTGCGTCCAACGAGGATGGTGTGAATAGGGTATAGCTCCTCTCCAACCCTTTCCTTGTCCACTGCCTCGTCCTCCTCCTGGATGAGATGAAGTGGCCCTTGGGGGTGGATGATCCGGTGTTCGTGGCGACCTTGGTTCACGCTGACTCGGCCTGGGGCGTAGGTATCCTTCTCTCTGGATCCCACTGCTGGGTCTGGCCTTAGCCTCGTCCTCTCGTCGCTCTCCTCTCTGGGAGTCGAAGTCCTCCCTTTTCTTCTTCCTCACGTCTGAACCACTGACTGATCTTGAGGCGCTTTCTTTCTTTCTTTTCTTGCGCTTGTCTTTCTCCTTTTGATAGTTGGGAGTCTTGGATCTCTCCCTTTTGTTTTTGTCCTCGTCTCTCCTCCTGGGCAATGCCTTTTTCTCTTCGCTATGCTGAACCTCCTTTACCTTTTCTTCTCTCTCCTCAACCTCTTCTGGCTTTGTAGCCTCCTCTGTCTGCACCTTCTCTCTGGCCTCCTTTCTCGGGCTCCGGGCCTCCTTCCTCCTCTCGCCTGAGTGCCCCTTGGGAGAAGCTTCTCCCTTGGTAGTGCCGCCTCTGCTGCTTTCTCCTCGACCGCGATCCTCCTCAGCCTTGTTCGCCCTCTCTGTCTTCTTTGGGCTGGGAGTCTCAACTCTTTTTTTCGGGCTCTAGTCCAGTACCTTGGTAACTTTCGCTTCTGCCTCGTACGTAGGAGGAATACGAGGGTTTGCGATCGAGGCCAGGAGTCGCTCCGATGAGGTGCAGACCGGACAACTATTAGCGAGGAGTGGCCACTTGGCACACTTCCCGCAAATGGGCATAACCTTGCGAGCCCAAAGCTACGTGGGAGATACACCTGATTCGTGTTTAGTTATGTGGACATTCAACCATTCTGCTTTTTTGAATGGGTTTGTATTGCAGCAAGTCGCAGCAAGCCCTCCCAAGGCTAAGGCTGGGACAAGTCCACTACTCCATAGATCTCCTCATCTTTCCCTGCAACAGGATCATCGTGATTCAGCATGGCTTTTATTTGCATTCACATATCATATCAGCTACATATCAGCTCCTTCATTGAGCAAAATCATGTTGAATTGAACGACACTGGTCTGTGACATCATATCTGAGTAGTGATAAAATCTTAAAGTTCATACTTTTATGGCTGTTCCTAGGCTCTTTCCCGGACAACTGGAGGGATTTGCATATGATCAAACGTTTTGACCTGGTCCATTCTCCTCCAGCACTGGCAAGCACGCGCACTCCTGACGGTCATGGCACGTGCTCCAAGGCATCTTGCCCAAGCATGGTACGCTTTGCCATCTGGAATCGCTTTATCGATCACAGCATGGGAACAACAAGGGTACGCCTTTTCAATGATTAAGTCGCCTTCTTGTCTTGATAAATGACAATCTCGTTCCGACGCCAGGAAATCTCAAGGATCGCACCAGCCTTTGATGTGAGCTTGGAGAAAGCATGCAAGCATGACAATGGAACTGTTTCCAGTACTGTTCTGCCTCTAGGCCCTATCTCGTTTGGACTATGACTACTTAAGTAGGAGGTCATGTCACAGTATCTCGTTCCGACTACTTTAGTAGTAAATCATTAATCACAGTATCTCGCTCAGACTACTTTAGTGTCATCTAAATATACTTTGTGTTTTATGCGGGGGCCCTATCTTGATCACCAGCGAATACTGATGCTGGACAAACAAATAGAGCATGCCGTAGACTATATACTTTAGTACTTTAGCAAAGAATGAACAAACGTGTTTGTTAGGTCATAGGCATCTTTGGCGGCTGATCCGGTGGCTTTCTTGGAACCTTTGTAGTCTCCAACCAGTGATGTCGATAATTTCTGAGATTTGCTGAGTATTCTGTCCCTTTTGGCTGGATTGACCTACTGTAGGTCATTTGCATTCTGAAATTCTCTGCCTCCAAGTCTGTTGCTGGCCGCCATGCACCTGAGGGCAACTTCTGCACACTGTTCGGGCTGCAAAAGAGCGCGCCACCTGCATTCCACATCTCAAACAACGAGGCTGCTGATGCAGCACACAGTGTAAAGCGCGGTGTCAGGCTTCTGGACTTTCAAGACTTTCAATCCAATGCACTTGTGGCATTCAAAAGCACAATCTGGCAGTGTGCAAAGTGCTCTCTGCACCTTTGTCATAGCCCACAAGCCAAGCACGGCTCAAATCAGTGGCTTCCTGGATCAAGTTGAGCTTGATACTCAAGGAAGGATGGCTGTGCCAAATGGGTGTTGCCCTATCTCTGGACCTGCCAAACGGGTTTCCAACCTATACATGCTGAACTTTGGAATCTTCCAGGGTCCATACCTTCAAATGTATCGGTAAAAACGCGGCTGTTTGGACTCCTGTGTCTCCCGCTGTGTCAGCCAAATTGCCAACAACTGGCAATCTGTTGGTATACAGTCATCGACAGAATTATAGAACGGAATGGAGGAGGGAAATTCTCCTGATTTAACTGCACAGGATTTTTCTATAATTACCGATTCCTGCATGTCATGGATTAACTACATTAAAAGCTCTTTATTCAAAAGAAAGTCTCCCAAAAAGTAATTATAGAACAGAGCAAATTTGTCCGCTCCAAGTGATGCAAAACGATCCTCCAAGGGCAAATTCGCTAACTGCACCAGACACTCCTCAATTCTGTTCTATAATTCTGTCGACGACCATATATATAATATATATTTGACTAGAATTGGCAACGTAACTAATTAGTTGACAAGGGTGGAAGCAAATGTACAATAGGATTCTGACTAGCTCTTTTGATTCACATTTTCCGAAAGCTGTGCAGATGCAATGCATTCTTGGATCTAGTGGATCTATGCTAAATGGCTCAGACCTGCGGTGGCTTTGGTGGTCTGACCAAGCTGAATCTGGGGTATGCCATATTGTTAATCCAATTGATTCAAGATGTCTTGTGGTACACCGCTGATGTGTGGTGATTGGAGGCGCTTCGTGCTGATGTGTGATGCTCCGTCCTGGGATCTGCGGTAATCTGTGGCGATGTGTACTGATCTGAGGTTCAGTGAGGTCAGTGTGTACTGATCTGAGCTGTTTCGTGGCGATCTCTGGTGTATCGATGGATAGTGGTGGTCGTGGTCATGCGTAGCAATCCGCGATGATCAGGGGAGATTTCCATACCTTGCCAATGAAGGGGAACGGAATGCGCTTTTAAAGTCCAGTTTGCAGTGCCTGCATTTTGTTCAATAAAACGTTTTCACTTGTCTTCAATTGTGAGGCCATTGAGGTTCCAAACAACACTTCTGAGCTCCTTCTGAGCTCCTTTGCGTGACATGCTCTACCAGTGCAAAACTTATCTTGAGCATTTTTCCAATCAGTTTCTTTGGGTCTGTGTTCGACACGGCCTTGGGAACCTTGTCCAACTTTTTTTTTCCGCAAAATAGCTTTGCGCCGGCCTTGGGAACCTCGCGCGCTTCTTGTGCGAACACAGCAAAACTAAATTTTCTGTTGGAATGAGTTTTCGTGCGTATATATATATATATGCATACATACATACAGTATGTGTGCTTTCAGGTGGCAATGACAGTGTAAACACATTAAACTTGAAACATCTTGAAACACTTTGTGAACATAAGCGCGCAACAGCACGGGAGCCAACCTCCTCAAAGGACTGGAATTGCTTGGCACGGTCAGATCCCTCTCCATTAGAGGAATCTATCTCAGGTCACACCTCTCAGCGCCATTGCCGAGACGTGATGGGCAATATTCTATGTAAGTTTGCGCTTGCGAGGATCTTTTGCGAACCTTGCGCGGAAGAGCTTCTTTGGACAAGGGGCTTTGGGTCTGATTTGTGCAAACCATTCTACAATGTTGTCGCTTATCACACTGCATGCAGCATGCTTGCGCAAAAGCATGGAGAGAAGAAAGAATTCTTGAATTAATTTCAGTTCCACTCCACAGAACACGAGCCAGTAGCCACACATTTCTGATAAATTGGTTTAAGATGGTTTAAGTGTGAATAACTCGTGTGCATCCTTGCGCAAAACCCTGTGCCGGCCTTGCGCGATGCAGGTTTTAACCTCCTACATCAATAAAACACATGGTGCTAAGAAATTATGTTATGTGTTTTGTGGACGACTCCCGCGTATGTCACTTTTTGTTCTCTCATCCACAACTTCAATGAAAGCCGGAGCTGCCTATATAAATATCAACTATTTGGTAAAACATGCAATGTAATGTACTGTAAAGATCTGTAAAGTACATTCAAGAACCTTTGCAATGCAGAAATTCTGGAAAACACTGTTCCAACATGACGTTGAAAAGGCGGTCTCCTTGGGTCGCGTGTGGCCAGATGGCATCACATCCAGGCTGTTCAACACAGCGAAGCCGACAGCTAGTGCCTTTGTTTGAAGCTGCATAAGCCATCAATGACAATGACATCCGAGCCACCCAAAGAAAAACACATGTTTCAAGCATTCAGGAACGCAGTCCCTTCAGTGGCTTGGACTCCCCTACCGCAAACATGCTGAAAAACGTGGCCAAGCGTATCTATCAAGCTGAGCAACCCGAATGCCACCCTTATTGCTCATCTCGTCGATCCGAAGCCGAAATGTGCACTGCATGTTTCGCTGTCGGAGTGGCCGTGCGGTGATGCAAACGCCGTTGCTCACCTCAGATTTGAAGCGAACTAGCAGCATTGCGAGCTGAATGAACTGGGCTTGTGAACTCCCCCATGGGAGCCTGCGCTGGGAAAATTGACCGATGATAAAGGGCATCGAACATTTCGACCTGGCATCTAAGTACTCAACGTCTAAGTCCTGCAGAAAATGGTGAACTTGGACTGTGTCAAGATCTATACGTTGGATGTCGCATTCACAAGCGTTGTACCGTCTGAACCCGGCACAGCATCCCTTTTACATCAGACCAAGGGCACCCAAACTGCCCGTAAACCACTTACCAAAACTTGAGGCCTGCAACTCTTGAACCAGCAGTTTTCTGTCTTCACACTAGAGCCGCTAAACTCTTGTTTCAAAAAAGTGGTGTTTACTTTTCTGGCATTGCCTGTGGACTTTGCGCCAAGAACTCTGGGCTCTAGGCAGGTGTTTTGTTAAACTTGACCAAACTAGCCAATGTTAGAGCACATGTAGCGAGCAACCCGGGTTCTGAACAATTCCTCGATAGTGTTTTGTCACTTGTTTTGTCTGTTCTTTGAACAAACAACCTATGGACCCATACACCGCAGTTGAAGGGCTGAGTGGCACCGGTGGTGCGTCGCACTGTAGCGCTCCCGTTCGAAGCACTTAAGGAGCAACCGATCGCTCCAAAGAGCAATCGCTCCATCACAGTGAAAGCCTCCTGCGGTGATCTGAAGCACACCACAAACAGTTCTATTTGTGTCAGGCTGGCCCGAAGGATCCCAATGATTCCCAACAGCGGAATGCAGTTGGGTTTCAATCTTCGAGTTTGCCTACGGCACTCCAAAACCAAAATTCCATCCTGAGGTCCTGGAGCCCTGGAGCCCTGGGTGCTGTCTGGAACCTTGGGTGCTGTCTGGGCTGGGAGTGGCGCGTAGTTTGTCTACAGGGCTTGAAAACCGGACTTCCGAATGCAGTTGGATGAGTCTCTGGGGCCGGGGAAGGTTACACAGGGAATCTGGAACCCCTCCCTCGAACCCTGGCCGCGTTTTTTTTGGGATATTTTTTCTGGTCCTGTTGTGGGCGCCTTCCCTCAGGCTCGTGTCTCCAAAATGATAGTTGTTTCTCCGCGCGAGACCCCAGAAGTGACATAGGACTCCTCCAAAACGAGCGTTTCGTCCAAGACTTCCGTCACAAGCAACAGGGGACGTCTCCAGGTATCCTTTCGTGCCAGACATCGGCTTTTCTGTTCCTGTTGCGCACGCCTTCTTTCAGGCCCGTGTCCCCAAAATGGACCGTTCAGACTTGGACAAATTGTGTGTTTCTGTGGACGCCTTCATTGAAAGGCCTGTGCCTCCAAAGTAATTTCACCTAAAGCCTGAAAACGAGCGTTCGTGTGAGCGAGCGTTCGTGTGAGATTTCCACCATACGATCAAGCGTGCCTTTTTTTCGTGTTGCCTGGTCCGTATCACTTTGGATAGGTGGTTCGAAGCGCAGCTATCCTCTGGGCAGCGGTCATGCCCTGGCTGCAAGATGGTTGGAAAGATGGTGAAAAGAAGAACTTGGCAAGACTTAATTTTAATAACCTGAAACAAAGAGGCCTTCCACAACGAAGTGCTAGGAGCAGCGTCAGCACCCTTGGACCAGTATACCACAAGAAGAAGAGCACGCTCACTCAGCATAGTCAGGCATATGATGGTGTGGAGCAGAAGCTGCAGGAGGATGAGCCTTGGACGACACAATCCGTTGAAGCGTGGACGACGTCCGTGACGCATGAGAATTAAGGCTAAAACTCCTGATCCCGGCGAAGAAGAGGTCGTAGCCTTAGTAGCCTTAGATTGCAAAGACACACAAATTAGAAAATAAGGCAACAGCAGGGGCTGGAGCAGAAGCTGCAGGAGGATGAGCCTTAGTGAAATTACTTAGTAGACTACGTCGGTCATGCATGAGCAATATAAGGCTGGAACTCCGCATCCCGGCGGAGAAGAGGCCGTGGCCTGAGACACACAAAGCAGTCCATTCTGGAGATTGCAAGACTGTTCACGACTGATATAACACCAACACTTCAGAGCAAACGTGTGAGTAAATGAAACATACGCATGAGACATCGTCGATTACGTCGGCCATGCGTGAGCGTGCTAAGGCTGGAACTCCGGATCCCGGCGAAGAAAAGGTCGTGGCCTTAGACACGCGCAGCAACCAATTCTTGAGCAGGCAAGACTGTAAGAAAATACCCCGACGTAACCTCATACCATCCAGCGGGCTCGAGGGTCCAAGAAAAACCGTTCATCTGCGTTCGGAAGAAATTTCTGTCAGAAAGAGAGTAAAGAGGCCAAGCCGGTCATGTGTTGAAAGACTATGTAGGTATACCAACTCCTGTCAGCGCGTAACTGCACAAATCACAGAGAAAAATTGGGATGAAGCCCTCTGAGGCCAACACAGTTGCAGCATGCACCGAGGCCTGGGAGATCGGTTTGAACACGCAAGGAAATTTTGATGTGGCAGGACGAGGGGCCGGAAGTCTCTCGGCCGACGCAGCATCTGCAGCCTGCGTCATCACACTGTCACACGTAACCAACACCGCAATCCTGCGCCAGCCTGCTGCAAGGCCATTTTCAATGCGTGAGCTTGTGGCAAGGTGAGGTTGAAGAAAGTTTGGAAGTCCGTGTAGGACATGAGGCGCAACATGTCCACTGTCGCTTCTTGCCGCACGAAACGCGACCGAAGACTGCCAAGTCCGGCAGACTGGAGTACAGTCATGAGATGGTCAGGCGCAGGGCACTCCGAGACATCTGGCACAAGGGGCGTGGCTGGTGACGTTGCCATTGAATGCGAAGCCAGCAAGGGGCCAGGTTGCAACAAAGAACCTGACAACTGAATGGGGCGTCCTGCTTTCTTTTTAGGTCGGCCAGCCCGCGATTGTGGCTTGGCTAGGGGCTCCAATCATAGAACTCCCTGCCTGAGGAGGGCACAATAGCTGTGCTCACATGGCCCTGACTTCCCGGCCGTTTCACAAAACCAACACAGCGACCGCATGTGGTCATTCTCTTACCGCCAATAATTGGCAACTTCAGGCCCAATGAGAACACAGCGCCAATCATCAAAGACTGCAGCTGCCACATCCCAGCTATGTATGCAGGCAGAAGCCAAATCATAAAGTCCAAGAGCAGCTAGGGCCTCACAGACAACATCGGTGGACTTGGCAGCGCAAAGGATTGCAAACTGCCGGGCCGCGTCTGGAGGCAGGCGCACTGGTTCTCGACTTTCAACATGCAATTTCTTGCCCTGTCCACCGACCCGAGAGCGCCATTGTGCTAGGAGCCCAGAGAACAGCTGCTGCAGTGACAATGTGCGGTTGCCTCTTTCTCAGGCAGCCATACGCTTAAAGAACGGGCAATTGCAAGCAATACGGTCATGCATTTAACAGCCAGGCCTTCCTGCAAGAAGGGACACAGACCAAATCCCATAGGTTGTGGTTGGCCCTATTAAACAAGGTCAGCGGAACTGAACGCCATGGGACACCAAATGGCCCGCACGTCATTCCTCCAACACAAAAGACGCTATACCTGCCTTCCTTCCTTTCTTTTGACTTTAAACCCCAGCACGGCAACCGTAAAAGCAAGGAAAGCCAAAAGCCACAAGCGCCAAAAAACACTGGCCACTGCAGGTAGCACAGTTCTGCAAGCTGGCCACCTGCAGCAGCACCCAGTGCTCACGACACTGGCCACTGCAGGTAGCACAGTTCTGCAAGCTGGCCACCTGCAGCAGCACCCAGTGCTCACGACACTGGCCACTGCAAACAGCACAGCTCCGCAAGCTGGCCACTTGCAGCAGCACAGTCCTCACAACACTGGCCACTGCAGGCAGCACAGCTTTGCAAGCTGGCCACCTGCAGCAGCACAGTGCTCAC